TGTACATTAGTATATTAAATAAATTTTGGTATAAAAACAGTATGTCTGCTCCGAAAAGATCGCGTGTCGTTCGTAGCAATGATCCGGAAGTTTGGATGCAGTGGTATAATTAATTATCAAGTGCGGAGCAATCCTCAGCAATGGATGAGGAGGGAGATGAATTAGAAGAGGATATGATACTAAATAGCGATCATAACACCGATACGGAAGAAGAAATCGAGGAGCATGAAGAATCACAAAAAAATAGCGAAGATAGTGACCAATCTACAAGTACGAAATTTTATCTTGGAAAAGACAAGACGACGAAATGGAAACAAAGGAGACCTAGTGCAAGTGCAAGTTAGAACTCGTTCCCACAATATTACAAAATTACTTCCTGGTCCCAAAGGTACGGCTCGTAATGCAAAAGTAGAAATGGAATGTTTCGGATTATATTTGGATGAAACCATTATTCGCAGTATCGTCACTTGCACAAATATCTATATATACTAAGTGACATATAAATCCGAACACCCAGTTTAAATGGTTTTATTTTAATAAAAGTTAGTGAATGTATTTATCTTACTGTAAATAACAAGTGAAAACATTTTCAGCCTTATCAGTTGGACATTCCGGTTTTCATACTGCTTTTTTTTTAATTCACTAACGCTCTAAAAATGAATATTTCAGCCGCAGTAAAGAATCAACGTTGGCGGATTTTGGTTCTTGACATCCTTTACGATCGGTTACTATGCCTAGAGTACGGAGACCTGTACGATTTCGTCAACTTAGTGAGTTTGATAGGGGCCGTATAGTGGGACTTCGGGAAGCTGGACTTTCTTTTCGGCAATTGCAGTTAGAGTGCAAAGAAGTGTAGACACTGTGGTTAGGTGTTGTCAGGCATGGCTTCGAGAAGGCCGTACGCAAAGAGCAAGGGGCACTGGACGCCGCCGTAGAACAACAGACCGTAAAGATCGCCGCCTAAGATTATTGGCCTTAAGGGATCGTTTCTCCACTACTAGGTCCATTGCAAATGAATGGTTTGCAGAACACGGAAGACCTATTGGCATGCGAAGTGTTTACCGACGAATGAGAAGTTTTGGCTTGTTTTCATACCGGCCACACTGGGTCCACCCTTTAACTCGAGAACACCGACGTAATCGCCTTGAGTGGTGCAGACAACGGTCACTCTGGGATCAGGAATGGAACAGTATTGCCTTTAGTGACGAGTCTCGATTTTGTTTAGGCATGCACGATGGTCGTGCCAGGGTTAGAAGGCGACGTGGTGAAAGGGGGAATCCACAGTTTTTTTGTTGAAAGACATGTTCATCACACTGTTGGAGTTATGGTTTGGGGTGCTATAGCTTATGGTTCCAGGTCACCTTTAATCTTCATCAGAGGTAACATGAACGCGCAGCGTTATGTCCACGAAGTTCTAGAACCCCATCTTTTACCCTATCTTGACACCCTGGCAGATCCAACTTTCCAACAAGATAATGCCCGACCACATGTTGCAAGAGTCACAATAGACTTCTTTCAACATAATGATGTCACATTGTTACCATGGCCACCAAGATCTCCCGACTTATCCCCAATTGAGCACGTGTGGGATATGATGGGTAGGAGATTGCTCAATTTGCAACGTCCTCCTCAGACTCTAGAAGCACTTCGAGAGGAGTTGGTGGTTGCCTGGAATGAGATACCACAGGAGGACATTGACCACCTGATCAGAAGCATGCCTAGACGCGTTGGAGAATGCTTAGCACATCAGGGTGCATCCACACATTATTAAAGGTCAAAGGGCTTTAAAGCAGTGCAATCATTTGGAAATTTTTATCATTTACTTATTATGCTTCAGTAAGTACTTATACAAAATTTTATTAAAATAAAACCATTTAAACTGGGTGTTCGGATTTATATGTCACTTAGTATAGTTATCGATGGTCTACGATCGTAGACCACGCGCCTGAACTCGTTATTGTTTTTATAAGTATTTCGCGTACGAGTTACTGGTTTGTTATACATGCGCTTAGAGTAAATAGTGTACATTAGTATATTAAATAAATTTTGGTATAAAAACAGTATGTCTGCTCCGAAAAGATCGCGTGTCGTTCGTAGCAATGATCCGGAAGTTTGGATGCAGTGGTATAATTAATTATCAAGTGCGGAGCAATCCTCAGCAATGGATGAGGAGGGAGATGAATTAGAAGAGGATATGATACTAAATAGCGATCATAACACCGATACAGAAGAAGAAATCGAAGAGCATGAAGAATTAGAAAAAAATAGCGAAGATAGTGACTAATCTACAAGTACGAAATTTTATCATGGAAAAGACAAGACGACGAAATGGAAACAAAGGAGACCTAGTGCAAGTGCAAGTTAGAACTCGTTCCCACAATATTACAAAATTACTTCCTGGTCCCAAAGGCACGGCTCGTAATGCAAAATTAGAAATGGAATGTTTCGGATTATATTTGGATGAAACCATTATTCGCAGTATCGTCACTTGCACAAATATATATCTATATAGATAAAGTTCGCGCCAATTACAACCGTGACAGAGACTCAAGACAAACAGATCAAAAGGACATCAGAGCATTATTTGGAATTTTGTTGCAAATTCGAGCGTTTGGAAGTTCAAGGCAAGATGCACATCAGATGTGGGATAACTCTAAGGGAAGCGGTATAGAGTTATGTTATCTATCCATGAGCGATAAACGATTCTATTTTCTTGTAAGATGCCTTCGCTTTGATGACGTAGGTGATAGGAATCAGAGAGGAGAAGCTGACAAAATGGCGCATATACGGGAAGTATTTCAGTTATTTATTGAGAATTTTCAAAAATATTTCATTGCAAGCGAGTACTTGACAGTTGACGAGCAGCTGTTGGCATATCGTGGGCGTTGCTCATTCAAGCAATACATTCCAAGCAAGCCCGCTAGATATGGAGTAAAAATGTTTGCTTTAGTTGATGCAAAAACTGGCTATTCGTTCAAATTAGAACCATATGTGGGTATACAACCTGAAGGGCCATACAGATTGGGAAATTCAGCTCAAGAGATTGTGCTAAGACTTGTCGAACCAGTAATAAACACTAATAGAAATATTACTGGAGACAACTGGTTTACGAGCACATCGCTAGTAAAAAAAAATGCTAGAAAAAAATTAACGTACGTTGGTACAATTAGAAAGAATAAAACTGAGTTACCGCCAGAATTTTTGCCAAATAAACATAGAAGTGAAAATTCATCTACCTTTGGATTCCAAGAGGACTACACACTCGTTTCTTACGGTCCGAAGAAAAATAAAGCGGTTTTAGTTATATCAAGCATGCATCATGACTATGCAATCGACATTGAAGGTGGTGAAAAGACCAAACCAGAAATGATAACTTGTTATAACAAGACCAGAAGAGGAGTGGACTTGCTAGACCAAATGTGCCAAAAATACAATGTCGAAAGAAACACACGTCGTTGGCCGATGGTAATTTTTTATGATCTATTAAATATTTCTGTTATAAATGCATTATGCATTTATAAAGCGAATAATGGATTTCCGCGCGTAAAACGTAGCAAGTTTATTGAAAGTTTAGCCTGGGAACTAGTAAAGCCACAAATAGAATTCAGGTCAAACATCCCACAACTACCCGTGGAAATGAGCAGGGGTGCAAAGGTACTTCTAGGTGTTGCGGAACCTGAGACACCTCATCAACAAGTTCTGCAAAACTACGTTGGGCGCTATATTTGCACAAGGAATCGCAACAAATCTACAAGACGACAGTGCGTGAAACGCCACAAATACGCATGCAAAGATTATATGAGAGACGTCTGTTTGAACTGTGTGTAGTTTTTCTTCATTTGTTTTTATATTTTTAACTGTTGTTTTAGTTCTTTTCAAATATTTGTCTTCTTTTTTTTTGACCTTTGATGGTATTTTGTTTTAGTATTTGTGCGTTAATGTGAATTAAAATTACATTTCCATTGAAATGAGATCATTTTTTTCAGTTATAGTCTCGTGTTCTCCTATTGGTATTTGTTTTACTTAAATATTATATAAGAAACATTAAATTTATAAAATAAAAACCACAATAATATTGAAATGTCAGAAAAAAAGGCATAAAATGACGTGGTCTACACTGGTAGTCCACGCGACCGAACATGTGCACTAAGTGAACGCGCCTGGTCCAGGGTTAAGTACCGGTTGTGGTTGTTCGGCTTCGGAAAATTATCGCAATTAAACTCTACTTGTAACAACAGCTCGAAAATGCATATGGATGGCAAAGTATTCCCAGATGTTTGAAGGAAGCTCTACAGCTAGACCTCCTGCTCAGGCCTTGAAGTAAACGTACCATCCTTCTGTGTATAGTAAATACTCGATTTCTTTCAGTTGAAACACGCTATGCTATTATGCCATATGATAAACTTCTCTGTATCTATGCATAGTAATATGTCAACAGCAAAGATTCATCAACGACAAAACGTAACTGACTAATGCAGTATACGTGAGGGTGCAATCTTTTTACATAATAGGTGGTCAAAAAGAGTATTCCACTTTAAGCAGCTGTTTATGTGGATAATAAAAAATTTGACATTCGACGTGTTGAATGGAACCATCGAGTGACTTAACCAGCAAGCTATGATCGACGCTGGAGTTTACGAATCTAACAAATTGCGTTTTATTTGCGTTGAGCAGGAGCCCATAATCTTGGAACTATTGCTGTGTTCCTTGTAGCTCTTCAGTAGACATCGATAGAGATGTTAAAGTTTTGCATTCTACTAATAAAGATATATAGTCCGCATATAGTGCTACCGTATCACTGTGCACTCAGAAGCACCAGGTCATTCTACAGGTCGTTGTTTAGGAATTATCCAGGCTGAAGTGCCGATCGATCAGGTCATGCTTAGGAATAGGTAACAAAGCATGTAATATACATACCTTGTAGGAATGATTTGAATTCACAAAGATGTAGTTTGTAGATCCAAATAGACCTCAATATTTTCCACAAGCTTCCTAATAAATTTAAGTTTTTCTATCCAGCAGCAGCCTTTTTATTCCCTTCCTATAAAACTTGTTTTCCTTTAAATGTAACTTTTCCTGTGCGAGAATTCAAGGATAAGGAATTTGGTTACTACTTGTCATCTTTGGTATGTCTTTTATTTCCTGCTTCCAAATGGAACATGTTCATTTTCGAGTACCTAATAGGCTGAGATAAAGTAGTTTGTACATGTGTCACTTAGGGTATACCTGTAGTCTAGTAGGTAATCGGCTTCCTGACGCCTCCCTATGGCACTCTTTGGTGACAGTCTACATTTCTGGAAAATCTCTTTCCAATTTGTTCGTGACAAACTGCCAAAAACGTACTTGAGTTCTGACAGTATTCTAAAATTGATGTTAAGCTGTTAAACAGTTTAATCAAATAATACCTCCTTAGAGAGCTACATACCTTTCAGAAGCGATTTTTCCAAAATTATTCCAGGTAACTTGTACGCCCTTAACCTTCACAATCAAGTGATATTGCCATAATTTTGACAGAGTCAGAAATTGATATTTGATCTGAACGGTAGTGTTTATTGACCTTACCTTACAAGTTAACTATTTACTAATAATCATTCATTGATGATATGTAGATCAATGAATTGAAATAGACTTATAAATCTGTTTGCCTTTCATCTCAGGCAGCAGCGGTGGCCGCAGTAGTAGACTCTTCGGTCTCCTTATCAGTCGCCGTGCGCTGTGCGGGTTCGAGTCCCGTCCCAGGAGAAATTTTTCTCTTGACTATGAATGTTGTGATTGTCCGTAGGTGGTAGACGGTCTCTGACTGTCGAACGTGGAGGTACCACCCGGCGGATCTCGTAGGCGGAGCCAGAATGTGTGCATGTTGCATGCACACGTGCTCCCTCGCCAGAGTCCATGTGGCGTTCCCCCTTTCCCCAGTATCCCCCTATAGCCCCACGGTACCCAATGGGTGTTTAGGCCTTAGGCCTTCGTGGTAGTTGGAGTATTAAAAAAAATAATCTCTGGAATAATAACGACCCATAGACAACGCTGTTTCATGCTTTATAGCAATTATTGGTACAGTCTAGAGTAGCTAGACCTATACCTTAGTGATGCTTGCTAATAAGCAGAAACAACGGTTGTTACGGTCACAGAGACGTAAAGCAAATATGTTCTATTGTGTGCTTAGTTAATGCCAGTCTTGCACAGAACGCCATAGCTGGTAGAATGGTAAACACATAGTGCTCCTCTGATCGGCGAGTTCGTATGATGGTGGGTGATGCTTGTTCATGCATGCCGCGGAACTCGAAGGCCCCGGGACGTGAATGAGTCTCCTGCACCCGATACAGCGACCCGTGTTACCGCTTTGACGAGCTACTCAAAGGCGTGATGTTAAAAATTGTATTTTATCCAGTGTAAGGAATTCGTTGTTTGAATTCTTATCATACGACATTATCTACTATGCCTCGCCTATAACTCCACCATGTTTACGGTAGGCATTATTTTGACAGCAATTGCTCGTACGAAACGTGGTTAGTTTCCATTTGAATTACGTGTAAGGAGGAAGCCGGCTGTGATGAATCTGAGAGGGTGTACAAGTTGCTGTCTGGTTAATAGCTCGAAATAGGAATGAGTGCAATGATATCTTGATTAAACTGAGAGATACGTTCTCTCGTTAATGTGCAAGGATGAACTTCCTGCTTGAAACAGAAATGCAAACATACTGTTATTATAATATTATGAAGAGTTAAGTGCCCAGTTAGAGCCATTCGCATAGGTTCGTTCTATGTTGTGATCATATCCTCACTTAGAGTAGACATATCTGCACATGTATCTAATAACATTGTATGTGACAAATGTCAACTTTTCAGGAGAGCCATTTGCATTTTTTAGCAACTTCAGTCGAGTTTTTCAACTTTTAATATAGCATTGTTGCATACAGTATATACGACGCCGGAAAGAATACAATATATCGCATATTAGAAGAAAAAATGTGGAAAAAGCAAAAAACGTGTAATTACAATGTTGGCAAAATTTACTCTTTACTGTAGAATCATACAGTACAATCTCGTTCCTTGGAACATAAGCAGCTATTACAAATTGTAAGGGCAAATGCGGTTACTCGTATGTGTACACTTTACCTGAAATAATGTAAAGTTACTTACCAGAGCTTTCAGCATTACAATATTATGTGACAACAGCGGTAGTGAAACCTTCGTAATAAATGAAAACTGGACATAATATTCTTTGGAGATTAGATAAAAAGTACTTAGGCAAAGATCCTATGCACGGCGATCTCAATACCTATGGGCTTATTTTGAATTAAGAAAAAGTTGCGTTATTAGCGGCGTAAAGCGGTTGCGAAACTCAATGGCCTACTGAGATATTTGAGAAATGCTAAAATATGGTCAAATAATTTTTATTTTTTCTAACTTTATGTCAATAGATATGAAAAAACTAATGGAACTTTCCAGTTCGCACTTTTTAGGCACTACATGATGGTGCTTTTAAATTTTGTGCCCAACGAGAAACCTTCATCAACTTTATTTTTTATAAAAAACCTACACCATGTATCTGATAGCATCTTTTGCTACGAATTCAACGATGTATCACATGTTACATTTGTTACATTTATAAAAACTGTCACTCATTTTCTGTCGTCTAAGTGAAAACCATGCGTCGGACTGAAAAATTCAAGAGGTAGGGAGCGTTCATAATTGATGCAGATTTCATCTTCACTTCCTGCGACTGTGGGTGAGTAATCGCGAAAGTGAATCATTAAGTTTTTCATATGACATAACTCACTTGTTTCTGTCTGGATGTCTGTCTGTCTGTTGGCCTGTCTGGTAATCCTTGGCCACTCTATAACTTGAAAAGTACTGTTCGGATTCAAGTGAAACATCTAGGCAAGGTTACTACTACACCAGGGACGAAAAAGCTTTATAGTTGTTGGAAATTGTTAGAGAAACGAAAAAAATAAGAATACGCTTAAGCCTCGTTAGTTGACGTTTCAGAGGTTCCTGATCATCTTTGAATAATGTTTGTAAAATGTTTACAGGGTAAACATTAGGGGGTGGGGGCTTGTAGGAAGAGAATATATTTTAAGCTATTCATGTTAGTATATTTATATTGTTCCAACTCTGGTAATTCTACTCACATATTATCCAGTTGTCTTCAAAGCTTGGAATGATATGTACATGTTTTCTATCCGCGTTTCTTTCTCCATCTGGGCTCAGCGTCCAGCGTAACGGTCTGCTTGATTGTTCTAGTCGTACTGCAGCGGTGCTTCGGTGCGCGCTGCTGCGTTTGATGATATGGGAAGGGGCAACGAGGCCAATTGGACGGTAGCTACCTAATTCTAAGGGTCTGCTTGACTGAATTGATCCATCCAATTTCTATAGTGTACATGTTCGTAGCTAATGGCTTCGCAGGAGGTTTAACTTGTGCTGAGCTTAATCCTTTATGAACGTACGGCTGCTTTGCATAGGGAGTGCATAGTCAGCCTACTTGACGCTATTTTTTTATTTTAAAAAAAGGGGCACGCCACTAAGTTTCTATGCTGTCAACCTCACCACCGTGTATCTAAGACGTTCATATGAAGCTTCCTTTTCGAAAATCGCCCCCTCAAATATTGACATTTAATTTGGAAACCACCTGATTAGAAGCGCGAAGTTAAGGGGTCCAAGCGACCATTGCACAGGACAGGATCATTAATCAAGGAAAGCGTTACAAAACTGAATCTTACTCTATGGTCCTGGTGTCCTTATGATCAATTTTCCTTCACGAAAATAGTGAAATTCTATAATATCGTGAATTGTACTTAGTTACAGTAAGATTGTCATTTTGGAGTAACTTCGTGCCTTGAGTAGATTCTTTACACATATTTCATAAAGATAAGTGGGAAATATATGAAAAAGCAGATGCAAATGAAAGTGAAATATCCGTGGATATATTTCACATGAGAGCGCATATTATCCATCTACGCTGAGACGCTAGCACGTCTTCTGGTAATAATGAGGAAAGCGAGTAGCTTAGCCCAGCGCTGAGCTAGCCGTAGCGTGTTCCTCCACGTGAATAAGGTAATGAAGAATAATGTTCTCATCAATTTTTTCAGACGCCGCGAGCTTCACAGTCTAATAGCGTTTTATATTATTAAATTCATCCTGCTTCAACTTCACATACCTTCTTTCGTTTTTTGCTTCGTTTTCCCTTGTGCTTATTTTAGTCATTTTTCTCTGCCAATAGCTGATGAGAATCACGTACCTTGATGAATCAAATCTGATAAATATATATTCCAGCTCGAAAAGAAACCAAAACTTTCCAAAAAAGTTAACCCGATAATAGTACATTACATACCTTGGTGGAGAAGTGTGCCATTATTGATCTAACATTTTTACATTCCAAGTCAGAGGAAATAATGGTTTTCTCCACATAGGTCCGTATAGAATTTTTCTGCTACTAACCGTTTAATTTGATTGGACATTGAAGTGTATCATATCCCAGAACCTTCTGAAAGACCGCCAAGACTGGTCAAATAAACCACATGAAATTTAATGCCAAGTACCAAATAGCACGAGGCTTCCCATCTGTTCAAATAATTAGATAAGTAAATTCACAACATTCGTTTCAGTTATAAATTAGACTGTGTATTGATTGGTAGTGGGTAATAATTACAAAAGCTCACAAAATAAAAACAGTAACGTGTGCTTGGGCTCCGACTACGTTCTCCCTATGTACTTTTACTTCAGACGCCACTGGCGAGGAAGTATTGTAATCAGCAAATGAGCCATTTTTTGATGTTATATGACATGTACATCACGAAAAATCATATCACCTTGTTCCGTCGATCCATCTGCCTTTGCCCACCAGGATACTACTATCCCAAGGACAGAAAGACTTTATAGTTTTTGAAAATCAATCTAGTGGCAGCTAGGGGAAAAAATAGTAGGAACATAAAAATAGCACAAACTTCGTTTTTTGACGTTTCAAAAGATCCTTATAATTTTTGGGAACGTAAAGTAAAAAAATGTGGGATGGTAGGTTGTAGAATGGTGTGAGAGGGTATACCTCAATTTTTGGACGTCCGTATAATCATACGCCTCTAACCGCGGTAATTCTACGCATCTATTTCACATATACTAAGTGACATATAAATCCGAACACCCAGTTTAAATGGTTTTATTTTAATAAAATTTTGTACAAGTACTTAATGAAGCATAATAAGTAAATGATAAAAATTTCAAAATGATTGCACTGCTTTAAAGCCCTTTGACCTTTAATAATGTGTGGATGCACCCTGATATGCTACGTATTCTCCAACGTGCCTAGGCATGCTCCTGATCAGGTGGTCAATGTCCTCCTGTGGTATCTCATTCCAGGCAACCACCAACTCCTCTCGAAGTGCTTCTAGAGTCTGAGGAGGACGTTGCAAATTGAGCAATTTCCTACCCATCATATCCCACATGTGCTCAATTGGGGATAAGTCGGGAGATCTTGGTGGCCATGGTAACAATGTGACATCATTAT